GTCTCGCGACGAGCCGCCTCTAGCTCGTCGCGCAAACGATGCTTCTCGCGTTCGCTCTCGAGTTGATAAAACGCGAAATCCGATTGGTCCTTCTCCCGATCGGTACGAAGACGTCGCACGGTCGTCGTCAAGTCGTGCCGACGACTGTACTCGTGCTCCATGCCCTTTCTCAACTAGATCAGGACGATTTCATAGCGGGCGCAAATCTCCTGCAGTCGCGGCGGCTGATCTGGACCTTGTCTTTCCGCCTCCACCAGAACCGCTGGTGAATTTTCACCGCAGTCGGCGCTTTCACGTGGGGCGTATTTTGAGCCACCTATTGAAGAATGGGAAGCGGACAAGTTACCTTGTCCGCTGGCGTGAGTATCTACCATCGTATGAACGCTGGGAACCTCGATCCCAGCTGATGGCTGATGTTGAGGGTCTCGTCCGCCAGTATGACGAAACTCATCCGAATGGTCTGAAGGCCCATCAGTAAACACGCGCTTTGGAGCTTATAGACGGATTGCAAGTTTGCAATCGCGTCCCGCATCCCAGTTGAGATGTGTGCCCTTCCCCAGGGAGAACTTAGGTAAAAGAATCCCCTCTTAGCGCGCTGTGAGTTGTCTAAACAACTCGCACAAGGATCTCCCCATGTAAGGCAAGGAATGTCTGCTTACGCGACAAACGATACAACCGGTATCTTGTAGCGGTTTACGCTTAATTTTCAAACTTGATGCGTACTGCATCAAGTTTCTGGGGTCGTCCTTCACGGCAAAAATTCTTGACGTTTTGGACGAAGGCGTTCCACGCTGCCAAAAGCAAGTTCATGTCACGCTTTTGGCTGCCATTGTACCATCGATGCTTGAAGAAATCATCTAGATAAAAGTCTTCTTCAGCGCGAAAGTTCTTCGCGCTGGAACTCAAGCCATGAAGCTTAGTTGCATCGAATAAAGGTATTCGATGGTGTTAACTTGACTCGTGAGACAAGCTATTGATGACCTGTTCAGGCAAACGCCACGGCTTCAGCTCATCACGCTTCGAAGTGGTACCTTTGCCAGTACCACGGCTCCCAGATTGACGACGGCTCGCACCATCTTCATCGCGCTCGTGCGAAGGCGCACGAGTTGATCGCGGTGACGAATAATCATACTCATCACCGTATACACCATCACTGCCAAAAAGAATGTGACGTATGTTGCGAGTCCGTTTGTTCGGCAGGTCTTTTGATGAGGGAGGTACCGCAGGTGACCGGGATGCCTCTGGAACGTTGCGCGAGTCAGACACATCTGACTCTCCATAGTAGCTGACCCCTATCTCGAGGTCACTGTGTGCATGAGGTGCGATACCACGTGCTCCCGCAGCAACACTTGCTGCAGGCAGAAAATGAGCAGCAGAAGACGAGTCGTCTTCCGCAGAGGCGGGCGCAGTAGCAGAGGCGGGCGCAGTAGCAGACTGTGTCTTCTTTGATTCACTCGGCATAGACATGTTAGCTATGCGAGGCAAAGTCAAATTCAATTGGATCTGATTAAACAAGTGGTCCCCTTCCCTTTGGCATCCAACGGGTGGCCACAAAGTTTGGATAGTCACATGGTGACTATCAGTTAAGGCGGGGGTGACGTAACGGGGTAGCCCGTTACATGATAATGTCATTAAGGATAAAATGACAATAAAGAATATTGCGTTGAATATTCTTTCAACGATATCACAAGGGTGATGAGATTGTTGGGATGGCCGAAGAGTCTTCTCATTGCTTGATTTCGTGATGATATCAACTTACCAATCGCTGCTAGACGCGCGCAATGGGTGGTAAGTAGACGTCACCATACATTTAGTTACATCAGTATAATTAAGTCATGACGAACAGAGACACAAGAGCGATAGGACTTAATTGTGTTAAATAACAGTTCTACTTATACCACGACTAGAGCCTTTGCCTTAGTCTTTACGTTCTTCTGTGTAAGTGTTTACACCTAGCAGGGCACTGACATTCACTGTTGTCAGTGAAAGTGACTCCGTACTGGTAGTTCAGTACGTAGTCGTCGGTGACCCGTTACACTTAGCGAATGCAATGCGACAAATGTACATTCAATGTTATAGAGTTGTGAAATTCACCTCATTTCATGAAGTTATCACTTTATTCTACATGCCAAAAAATGGTACAAGAACACTATTATACATCGATCAGCATCTTCATGAACGCCAATAGCAGCGATAAATTCATGATGGCTTTGGTTTCTGTATTGCCTTTTTGGTTGGGCTCGTATGTACGAGCTGGCGGAAATTATATTGGTAACGTGAGGTCACATTCGTGCTGAACCGCGATTCTCAAATAAATCTGATTTAGTCATATAAATTTCATTCAGTAAAGAGTAAATCGTTGCAGCAGCGGTAATGAGCTGCCATTCGATAGTTGTGGTACACTGAAACCTGGGAAACCTTTTTCCCGCAGATTAGCGAAAATCTGACCGTATAGTCATTGCTGGGTGTAACTATGTTACCATAGTCCAAAGATAATGCCTTCGATTGAAAAGTTATAGGATCGAACTGTACATAGTTCTCAAGACTATGCTCTACGCACGCCAAGCCAAAAAATAATAATAAATTATGGAGTCTGCGTTCATTGTCCATATTGTGCTAGCAAAGGCTCGCAATCTTTCAAATGGACTGTACATAATTGCAAAAACTGAACTAAAGGCTCTGCTTTAAATGTACCATAACTTTGTGGTGTAAGCGTTCGGGACGCGGACTGCGCCTACGTAATTGATGCAATTGTATGCGAAGCCGAAATTACAAATCAGCTTGACTGCTTTTTGTACCTGGTTTTAACGGTTGCTGCTTCACATGTGATGTCAACTCACGAAGCACTTGCAGCGTTTTCATATATGATCATCACCTTCGAACATGTGTGCGAGTCATTGCAAAGGTCATGGCAAATATGAGCTATCTACGAAATGCCGGCTTGTCAAGTTTTTTAATCGATCGGCATAAATGTTACTGATAAACGTGTAGTCAGCCTTTACACACGGCCGATACGGTCAGCGATATGTACCAGGAAGGTACTACTACGGCGGAAGTGCCACAGTGGCATCGAATTCCATGACCAGACCATTATGGACCGGCGCTGTTTACAGACGGTAAGGTGATGCAAATCTGGACTCGGCTAAGAACTAGCGCTGAATCCACGCAGATTTGGCATTCTCGAGCGTTCAGATGCTGGTATGGGCTCCTTCTCGGGGGTCCTACCGGATTGACTACGACTAGTCGGGAGGCTTTACAAATCGACATGCAACACGTTTGGTGCGCCTTTCGACTGCAGATCGAAGCTGGAAAGGTCGAAATAGGTCTGGGCTTTCACTGAGGTTCGACCAGATCAGCTTTTCCTGATTGATTAGTCTATGGACCTAACTTCGTGGGGACGATCAGACTGTCTATTGGGTCGTTATGACTGCGCTAAGATGTCTGTATGGATCTCTCCCTAATCTTCTACCATTATCTGTCGTTCTTCTCCTCGCTTTCTCATTCTGCTTGCTCGAGACGTCGGGCTTCACGGGGGGGGCACTCTGAAAAGGGCACGTGGACAAACGAGTTTCCAGTCCTGGGGGCAGACAGGGCGCGAAAATCGCAGAAAACGCCGGGTACCAAACCGATCACCCCCGTTAGGCCACTGGTGCACCTGGACGGCTCCGATCAAAATCACGTTCTAACGGAGTTCTCTTCGTGGGACCGGGATCCGCGCTAGGCGAACGAGTCGGCGACTGAAGAAGGCAGACGGAGTATAGCAGGAACTCGCTTGCGCCTTGGGTGCAGGGGTTCGACACTCCGTCGAAATGCCCCACACCGCATGATACCGGGGGATTACTTCCCTCTCGGGTCGCACGCTGCGGTGCCAGCACGCGCAGCGGAGAAAAGGCCTCCCCCCTTTTAACCTTGGCCCCACTAAGGGGGACTTCCCGTCCAAGGTGAGGGGGCCATATGACTGGCTTTTAGGAGGTCTTCGTCTCGGTCCGTTGTTGCTCGAAGAGCCCAAATTGGGAAGTGGACGGACCTAACTACGTGAATGTTCTGCTTGAGGTGGACACCGATGCTCGCAGACCAGAGATGTGTAGTCATCACGTGACGTCGACTGCACGTAAGCAGTTGTCCATCCATTCACTCATCTCATCCTTCAGCCGATTTAACCGTTCAACTATCGCTTCGTGGTCAGCGTAAACATCAGATCAGTCACGCACCTGCATCAATGTCAGCAACGTTTACTGCCTTGTGTGCCTTCGTGACACCACTTTCTCAGGCCAATCGACTTGCCTGGGCGCGCGGGGCCATCCCTTTGAAGGTGAGCACTTCTCCAGGATTCGGCACCTCTACTGAACGCTGTGGCTGGTCACTAATACAATTGCCGCACGATTCAAGCCAGAAGCACGCGAAGCTTCTCACGTACGTGCAGACGAACGTTGGTTCGCCGTGTCACTGATGGCCAAGAAGCCGACGTTCGCGTCTATCGAGCGCGAACGCATCAGATGCCAACCTTACTACGCAATGATTCAATCGTGATGTTGCGTTCGTGCTGATTGGGGCACTGGCGCTCGTCCTTTTGTCATTGGCGCACGATCGTCGAACGAGGCCATGTTACATACGATCCGAGTATGCTGGTTTGGCTTCGCGTGGTCACACACGAACAAGTCCAGAGACATGGAGTAGCTCAGCTTTCAGCAAGCCCATGAGCATGTATATGGCTCATAAGATGTACGTCAAACTCATTACAGCAGGAACGACCGCTTGTTTCCTGGCATCATGCAAGTGGAGAGCTCGTGGAACATGCACATCGATGCAAAAAGACCGGGAGGGTGTCGACCCGACGAGAATGGCCATATCATGCATGTATTGTTCTTACGGCTCAGCGTGCTGAAAGGCTCGAAAGAGACGCAGATACGAGACGCTTGAACTCGAACACCTGCGCACTTCTACCAGCAGTATCGTTGATACCAACAACGAGATCGAGCAGATAGGTCCCTCGATCGTATCTAGACGGCAGCACCCGTCGCAGCCGCATCCGACGAATTGTAGACGCGATTGCGCGAGAACTGCGCTACGAGGTGGGAGTTTCTCGCAGGGGCATCCTCCGGGGCTCCTTCGCCTAGGCTCTCGTCGTCGTTGCTGCTGATTGCATGGCCAAAGCTTTTGCTCAAGTAGGTGGCGCACGCAGTGGCCGGTGGATCTTCGAGTCGTTGCAAGAACTGATGCGATGACGTGGGCGGAACGTCGACGCTTGGCATCGGGTCCCCGAACACAGCGTGTCGGTAGTTGGCCTTGCGGTCCTTCCACTTGCTCATGACCGCTTCGAGGCTCGAGCAGCCGTCGAGGAAGTTGGGCAGCTCGCCCTGCAGCCGATTGTCGCGAAAGTCCGACTCCTTGAGGAACTTTAGCCGTGCAATGCTGCCCGGGACGCTGCCTTCCAATGCATTGTCGAACAGGTAGAGGTACTCAAGGGCTTCGAGCTCACCCAAGGACTCGGGAATGGGTCCACTCAGCTGATTGCTCGAGAGATTGAGGAACTCGAGCGCCTTGCAGCAGCCAAGAGATGAGGGGATAGCGCCCGTGAGCGCATTGTTGCGCAGCGACAGAAACACGAGCGACTGCATGCGGCCAATGTCCGGGGGAATGCACCCCGTCAAGCAGTTGCCCCGTACGCTGAACGTGCTGAGCTGCGTCAGGTGACACAGTGCAGCGGGCAGAGCTCCGCAGAGATTGTTGTGCTGGAGCTGCAGCGTCCGGAGGCTCTGAAGCGTACCCAGCTGCTCGGGGATTGTCCCGGACAGCGAGTTCTGGTGCAGATGCATCTCCTTGAGGCTCTGGTAGGCGCCCACTTCGCACGGAATGGCGCCCGTGAGGTCGTTCGAGCTCAAGTCTAGACGCCTGAGCATCGTCAGCGTCTGGAGCTCGCGCGGGATCTCTCCTTGCAACTTGTTCGTGGACAAGTCGAGCACGCGCAGCTGCGGTAGACGCGCCAGCGCCGCGGCCGGAAGGCGGCCACGCAGGTCGTTTGCTGGGAGTGCCAGCGCCACGACGTGGCCCATGGCCACCTCGACGCCAAACCACTGCTCGGGGTCGCACGTCGCCACTTTCCAGCCGTCGCGACGCCGCCAGCGGTCGCCGTTCAGTGCGTCGTAGAGCTCTTCGAGCGCCGTCCGTTCCGTTGCCGGGATGGCGCTCTGTCCTTGACCCATTGGCCACGTCTGCACTGGTTCACTGCAGAGGGTCTGTAATCGGTACGCAGAACTGACGAAACGACGTGATGTCGAGCGGATTCTCGACTCCTGGAAGATAGGCAGCTTCAAGATGAAGAGTGAGCAGATGCACCATCAGTGGAGCTGATCTCCTGCGACCGACTGGCATTCGTAAAGTAAACAACTACCAGACACGGCTTCTACTGCTTCACCTGCTTCTACTGCTGCTACTGTTGTAGCTATGGTTGTTGGCCGTGCCGGCCGCGACCTGTTCGTCCCATTATCTGTGGCCAACTCAGCCGACTCAGCCGATACTAGACCTGCACCTTGAGATGATCAATCGGTCGACAACAAGTGAGCAAGAGGGACAACACAGCAACCGACACACACACACACACGAGACGCAAAATGGAGTGGAAGAAGAGAGAAATACCGCAGCTACCGCTGGCTGCGTTCATTACGAGTCACTCGTCAAATGGGGACGGACGGACACATAGGCCTAATAATAATAAACTACCTGATGGACGGAACGAGGCAGTTGTGACAGTGGCGGTAACGGCAGCAGTGGTGGCGGTAGTGGCCCCAGCACCACCACTTCCTCCTCCTCCCCCCTCTTCGTCTCCTCCTCTCGTCTTATAGCGCGTAACTCTGCTGGTCCAGCGCAACAGGTTCGCGATGGCGCGACGGCCCCACGAACGTCACGTCGGACTGATACTGAGGCACGTAGCGCGGCACGTACTGCGGCTGGTGCTCTTTGCCCGCGTCTGCTACGGCCACCTCAAAGTTTGGCCCGTGCACGCCCGACGCAGCTGCGAGCGCTTTGGCTGCCAGTCGCTTCTGCTTGCGCTTGTGGAGGCTGTAGGCAATGATACTATTGGGTGCACTGGCGGACGTCGTCGTCGTCGAAGAAGAAGAAGAAGAAGAGGAAGAAGGCGCATACGACCGCGCGAGGTCGTCTTCGCCCGACAGCGCCCCACGTCGTCGCCGTTGCCGCAGCAGCGGCGTCGCGTCGTTCTCCAGCCCTGTGCCACCGAGCGGCAACAGCGCGATCCGCGAGGTCTCCGGCACTGGCTCCGGGACCGGTTCGCCTGCGCTGGCGCTATGCGTCGACGACGTGAACGACGAGCTGTGGCTCGAGCTGCTCAGACCCGCAGTGAGCGATGCCACGAGCGTGTTCAAGTCAAAGGCGAACGCGAGCTGAAAGGCCGTGGGGTCTTTCGACGGCGCGACGCTGTCGAGCGCGACGTTGAGGTCGCGGCGCTTCGCGACGGCTGGGAGCCGCCGCATCGTCGTCGTTCCCCAGGCCGCGCCCGCGGCTTCGCTCTCGAGGGGGTCGTCGAGCGTCGCGGCGACCGTCGCCATGGCGGACGCGTCGGACCGAATCGGTACGTTGTAGTAATTGCCGCTGCGCATGCTGCGCATGACGGACGTGTAGCGGGCCTCGACCATCATGATGCACGACGGCCGTCGTCTCTGTGGTCGTTGTCGTTGCCGTTGTCGTTGCACGTGGCCGAAAGTTGGCTAGTGAGACCGTAAGTGGCAGGACGCGCGGCGAGCGATGCAGACGGTGTGGTCAGCCGGAAATGAGACGGCAGCTGGGGGGTGGCGGGCGAAGAGGAGCGCGCCGAGAGACCACTGCGACTACCTCAAGACGTTGTTCCGAGACAGCGAAGGCGCGGCGCGAGGGAGGGACTGCGTGCGTGCGTGCGGACGGGTTGTCAAGAGCTCAAGTGAGTCGGACACGACCGGCTGTCCGGCTGGCGACGCGCCCGTCTGTCGTCGCTCTGACTGTTTGTCAACGCCGTCCGTGTCGTCTGTCTCTGTCCGCCCGTCTGTCTGTCGCGTGCGGTCTATGTACGTATGTGCTGGTGATTGATTGTCTGTCGGTCGCTCGGCCCGTCTGCCCACGGTCGTCAGCTGCGTGCCCGCGCGCGACCTGCTTCGAGGGCTAGGTCGCGCGCGCGCCCCATCCAGTCGCCACCTCCGACCCCTCCGAGTGGCCACTTTGGTCACGACATTCCCCGCCTGGCGCGCGAACCCTCTGTCGCGAGGGTCTTATACTTCTTACCGCCTCACGGTTTCTGCACCACACGAGGCGGTCGTCTTCCTTGGCCATCAAGATAATGCCGGAGGGTGAGCAAGGCCTCGTGGCTCACCTGACAACGCCAAGACGCCGCCTCAAGTCGCCAATCTGATGGGACCGTGCGAGCGAACGAGCGACCTCGCGCGACTGGCTCCTCGCTAGCGACGCTCTGTCCCGTTCGCTCGACGCAGCTTACGACCGTCTCGGAGCGCAGTGTTCAATAGCTGTTGCACATGGAGAAGGACGTGAGCATTCTTCGCCTTCTTCTGTTTCTCGTCCTCCTTCTCCTCCAGCAATGCATCGCGAGTCGACCAGCTGCGCTCGTGCATCAATCCGTGTGCAAAGCGATGATGCAACTCCGACGTGATGTGCGGTGGGGGCATAAGAACACCGCGACTTCCCCCGAGAGGCGCGCGCGCTCCATGTCGTCAACGAATGCAGTCACTCACGCCCACGGCGAGGCTCTCTATGTAAAAGTCCGGTTTGGTCTGCCCCACGCCACACAAAAACAGCCTCATTCGCCACATTCGCCGCCTCATTTCACGCCACGCTCTAGCGCTGTTTCATATCTCGATGCGCTCAATGGCGTCGCGCTGTTGTGGGGGGGAGAGACGTTCGTGCACAGACGCACACACAAACACAGGCATCGCGTCTGCCTCAAGTGGGTTCGTTGGACGCTACTGTGGGCGAGCGGAGAGCGTAGTGACGATCAGGCGGTCCGTTCAGACCAAAGCGACGGTCACAGTTCCTCTCGATTGGCGGTAGAAACCCGTGTTACACCCGCTGAGGACTATACCACTGTGCACAGTGGATCCGCAAAGACCTTCAGCTACGTTGTAACAGCGAGTAAAGTCGCGGTGTCTCGTTCGATTCTGAGTATCGATTGCCAGACGGGTCGTCCTCACCTGCTGCGTCGCACGTGACGTCGGACGTCAAAAGCTGCGCACATGTGTAAAGGGCATCAACTTGTCAGACGTCGTATCGATGGAAACCGCCACGCGCAAAAGAAGACACGACCGCTGCGCTCGCCGTTGCTGTACCTGCAGCTGAGCAGATGTAAAGGGGTGTCCGTGCTCTTATCCTGGAAACCTTGAAGCGCTTTGCCATATGTCATTGAAGCGCGGCTTTTCCGTGACCCGCAGTCGAGTGACGACAACAGATTGATTGGCCACCACTCAGTCAGTCAATTCGTCAACAACAGGCTTCGCTCATGGTCCACACGACGGAGCGTAATCAAGCTCCAGCCAAGGGTCGGATCAAGAAGTTGACCGCCGAGAAGCTCGAGCACTTTCGCAGTGAGATTATCACGCCTAATGGACTGCAAGTCGATCTCTCGGGACGTGGCATTGAGACGATTGTGAGCTTAGAGGGTCTCGAGACGGCGACGAAGCTCGATTTGAGCCACAATAAGCTCACAAAGCTGTCGCAGCTCAAGGCTGTTGCGCAGGTGACGATGCTCAAGCTCACTGACAACAAGCTGACGGGCGATGGTCTTGCAGAGATCCAGCACCTCAAGAAGCTCGTGATTCTCAATGCAGCCGACAACAACGTGACGCGTATCCCGTTTGAGGTGCTGCGCAACGTGCGCACGCTCAAGGCGCTAGTGCTGAACAACAACTCCATCTCGACGCTGGACTGGATACCGAAGCTGCCGGTGCGATGCAGCCTCTGGTATTGGAGACATTGGACGGCGTACTGAACTTGTGACGTTCGTGCTTTGTCGCGACTGCTGCTGCTTGTGCTGAACAGGAGCTGAATTCACTCATCGTGAGCAACAACCGCATTGCGCAGATACCTCAACGCGTGCTGGGCGGACTCCCGAATCTCAAGAAAATCTCAATGTACGTGGTGTTGACGATGACGATAACGACGATGACGACGACATGGGATGGCAGTCTGACGTGTATGGGTTCCGTGTGTGCTTGTGAAGCTCTCACAATTTGCTAGAGGAGATTCCGAACTTAAGTCATTTGTCACAGATCACGGAGCTGCGCCTTTCGCACAATCGGATCAAGACGGTCCCGGCTCATTTGGCGCAACTGAGTACGGTCGAGGCGGATGTGTCTTTGCACGAGGTCGTTTGCGTGCTGACTATGCCGTGGTGGGGCTGAATGGTGTAGAAAATCTGAAGGTGCTGGAACTGAGCCACAACGAAATTGACGACTGGTCGGGTTTGGAGGCACTGAGCGCTCTCGACAACTTGCGGCAGCTGAATTTGATCGGCAACCCGATCGTGGGAAAGAAGCTGCCGACCGTCGCTGGTGATGTCAAGAAAAGTGGTGATGCTTGCAATAGCGATAGCGACAATGGTGATAGGCCTGGTGACAGCAACAATCAAAGCGGACGCGACAGCGACAGCAGAGAGAAGAAGAAAAACGAGACTGAAGCTGATAAAGCTGATGCATCTGACGATGAGAAGCAAAGGACGAAGGAAGACAGGCGTCTTGATGCGAAGCATAAGCAGTACAATTTTAAGATGAAGAGGTTGTTCCCCAACTTGGTTGTACGCGACGCTACCCGCGTGCAGGACAAGCGCGTGCACGGATATGTCGCGCCGCCGAAGGAGGAAAAGACAACACAAGACAAACACAAGAAGGGGCCTGCTGGCAAGCATGCGAATACAACGTGTACGGGAAAGCGGAAACGCGGCGAGGCTTCTACGAATGTCAAGACTGAAGCAAAAGCATTTCAGACAACAGCATGCGTGGACAGCAACAAGAGTGTCGAGAATTCCAGCAAGAAGGAACGCAAAAAGGAGAAGATGCGAAAGGAACGCAAAAGTGGGGAGCAGAATGCCCGAGCAGTGGCCAAACCAAGTGCTGCTTTGCCCGAATCTGACAAAGCTGTGAAGCACAAGAACACGAAGGCTGTCAAGTCCAATGATATTGTACCCACGCACATTGCACCGAGCGCATCTGTATCCAATGTCAAGGAACAGATGGAAACAAAGGCTGTGAAGGAAAAAAAGCAGAAGACGAAGAAGAAGAAGGAGCAAGACAAGAAGAAAGACCAGCGGCAGCCCAAGGAGATCGCTAGCGGTGTGGTGGCCGCGAAGCAGTTCAAAAAGGCGAAGAAGGGCACAAGTCAGCAGGCCGAGCGTTTGGACCTCACGCAGATGAACTTTGCGCCTAATATTGGCTCTGGCGGCTCCAGTGCATGGGACTAATGTAGTAATCACCAACTTGCGATAGCACGCGAGACACGAAATCGATCGTTTGTGGCGGTTCGCGTGCGCGTTTGTCGATCATTTGGATCACACAGCACGACGTAAATGCCGCTGCCTCTTCGAACAATCTGCTTAACTACGGCTCTCCTTGTGCTGATTTGCGTAGCGGATCTATCAACATCGGGACATCGGAAGCAGTTGTACACAACGCACATTTAGCACAAGTGCAGCTTCAAGTGCGTCGGCCAACACAGAAAACAGTTTTTGACTTGTATGCTCTGTATGCATGGCCAAAGTGCCATCGCCGCCCAGCGTTGCCATTATCATGCTGCAGCAACATGCCAAGCGAAAAGCATTCCCGTCTGAACTTTGTGTCGTGTATGAAAGAGCTACACCAGAGCAACAAGTGGATCCCGCAGAGAAAGATGAACTATCCTTTGTAGGTGCAATGACCATATGCCACCTTTTCGAGCTATACGACTTCGAGTGAGTCGCCCACTCTCATCTACCAGCGTGTCAGCTGTCTCCTGGCTGCGCCACATGCGTCCCTTTTTCCTAGACCGCATCGTCGATCACTCTGTGGCCAAAGGCTGTCAGCACGTCTACGCGCAACGAAAGAGCTTGCTTGAGGCATACCTGGTGTGCTGTAGCTGCATACATGCAACCAATGCAGTACATGTACGTTTGTTTTACAAAGTAAGTCTGTGGTTTGTGCGGGCAATGAAAAAGTATCTACTCGCACACGTACAGTGTTCGCAACTTTCCGGGCTACAACAGAGACGCCCTATTCTTGATGCGACATCACAGTTCGAGGTAAGAGAAGGCTGTACGTGACCTCAATCGATAAGCACATGCCCAGTAATCCATTGACATCGATCTACGGCTCAGTTGGGCAGTGTGTCACCGCGGCCACACAAGTCGATGGCGTCATTACTCCACTCATCGTCATCGCTCCTGCAGCGCGTTTTTCCATACTGAGCTTCCCGGCTGCTTCGTCCTGCCACCTTCTTTTTGTGTGTGTCTTTGTGTAATTATGAGAGGTAAAAGCAGACGAGGGGTGACTGACTTCAGTTCCTCTTTGTTGTTGTACGACACATAATTAGTCCCTTGTTTTTTCAGAGAGACCGAACGATTTTGTTTGCCTCTCAAACCTGTTCAGCATCTCAAAGCAGCGGCCCGACCCGACACGGAACGAGCAGCGACCCATGGCGAGCAGCAATCCGATCAGCGAGTTCATCTCGACTCTCATGGCGTCCAAGAGCGAGCAAGAGAAGAACGTGCAGGTGCGTTGCGGCATCGATATCCGCGCGCACCGATAGACACATGCACCATTACATGTATACTTTTACATATGTATACTACATACGTACATAAATACATGAATGCATAGTTACATATGTATGGGTACAGGTAGGTATACACAGTTGCGCTTGCGTTGCTTCGATTTGGCGTTCCCTCCAGTCCTTGTTTTGACCGCTTCCTTGTGCTGTGAAATAGACCCATTTATCGTCGCTGGTGGATGGCGCCAAGTGGCGACTCGAAGACGATCTGCCGGCCCGTAAGAAGACGGGATTCCACCGCCACCATCAACACACGAGCTCCGAGGGATTCCCAGAGGTTCCGCGGCAGTACATTGTGACGACGCACTCGCAGGGGCAAAACTATGCCACGTACGCTGCGAACTCATACGCGTCGGCCATTGCGATCCAAGAGGAGATGAAGACGCGCGAGTTCTAAGGGCTCTTCCGGCTTCGGCGTGTCGACAACGGCGCTGGTCACGTGGTGGAGCTCTGTTGCCGAGTCAGAGACATAGAAGGAGGACGAGGAGGGGAGAGAGAGATCTGGTGATTGCTGGAACAGCTGAGTAGCGACGACGACAGACGAGAAGAGAGACGTGATACATTGTGGGAGGACGAAACGAACAGAGAGAGAGAGAGAGTCATCGATGACGCTTGGCACTGTTTTGACTCGAGATGTTATTGATGTGCGTGGTATCGGGTCTAGTTGCGTCTCGTTCAACGTGGATGTTTCTTGTTGGTTGGTGCAATGCCATTCAGTGTGGTGCCGATGCGGACGGATTGTACAGATAGACCTACAGCAGCACAAGTATGTGGATCGTGAGTAGCTCTACTCGCTCCCTCAGATATCGCCCGTTACGCAGGAGGTACTCACTTTCGTGCCTTTGTACACGCGCTCGTCAGTGGGTATCCAGCCAGGGATTGAAAACATGTACGTCACGAATCGGACGTCCAGTCGTCGCGCTTCTTCCAACCTGCGCATGTCAACAGCAGCAGCAGCAGCAGTAGCAACGGTATCAGATACAAAAGCAGTGCTCGACCCGTCTCGAGACCGTACTTTGGCAAGAGCATTTGAATGCCCTGAAAGCGTCCAGCCAGCCAGATAGCCATCCAGGTAGACAGTCCCATGCAGCCATTCAGCACGAGACACACAACAAGTAGCACTCGTGAGCGCTCGGGTCACAACGTCTCAGCACGCAATGATCGCAGCTATCTGTCTCTCGTCTTCCGCCTTACTCGTGGCACGAGGTACAGGAACATTGCAGTCGCTGTCGTGAGGTCCACCTCCAGTGCATCTCCATGTCGAATGTCCACGAGGTCCTTCACGCCGCGCGCCTGCAGCACCTCCCACCGCCACCACCACCGCCACCACAACCACATACATATGTACATATACCGTCAGCATCGTCCAGACGGTCATCTCACCTCTTCCCCTGACACGTCACGTCTCGTCACCTCAACATGAGCCAGCGCGCGCTTCACCAGCTCCGCATTGTACTCGACGCCTACGCCACTGCAGTGTCAACCAGAAGATGGTCAGTCACATGCCGTTAGCCGAACTTCAACAGTCAGCGAAGAGCTCTTCATCGTCGAAACGCTTTCGAGCGATTTCACAACACATAACAACAGCAGCTGACGTTATCGCAAGTGCCTCAGCAGGTGCCCTACCGAGCGCCCGTCTGTTCCGCTGCGTGCACCAACATCCGCGCATCACCGCAGCCCAAGTCGAAGAGAACGTCAGTGGGGGAGAGCGCGAGCAGATCCAGTGCGTGGACGAGCACTTGTTCGCCGCTGGGGGTGAACGGTGCGAGTTTTGCATCGGTAGGCGGCGGAAGCGACAACGTCATGACCCGACCAGTGAACAAGAGGAAGCGGAGAAGGAGATGGAGATGGACGAGGAGGAAGAGGGGCAAAGAGTCGACGGAAGAAGGAGAAGGTGTGAGGCAGGTCCGATGAGGTCGGCAGCGAGAGACGCACTGGCTTGTCCACAATTGAATATCAACACGAGAGCTTCTTACATGTGGGTATGTGGATGGGTATGTGTGTCCAATACTACGTCGTCGTTAAACTTGATTTCGTCCACGCAACGATCGCTGACTGGTACATACGCTTCTCCACCTACGTGCACCGACAGTCTTTGAGCGTTCCTTCGGGCGCTCTGGGGCGGCCCTCGTCCTCGATACGGCCACGCGCATCTGTTGTCTAGAAGAGTCCCGTCTCTTTCTTCTTAGCTTGTTGCTTCCACTTGGGCAGCTTGACGAACTCGTCTTTGGTCATGTCCATGACGGTCTGGAACTCGGCGTCCGTGAGGTAGTTCTGTTTGCACACACACACACACACGCAAAGCACACACACACACACTGGAGTTAGCACTGGACACAGCAACAACACAATGGCGCGATGCAGCAGCTCGAGGAATCGAGACACGTACCTCCTTCACGGTAATGTCAATGCCTTCGACACCAGCCTTCAGCTGCTCGTACGAGAACGTCTCACCAGCACAGCCAGTTGCCTTGACAGAAGAGGGTGCAGACGATGTCAGGGGGGATGCCGAGTTGACCTTTGCCGGGGCCGATGGCGCTTTCGATGATGCCGGAATGGCCTCGGACGATGACGACATGGCATCAAACGTTGTCTGGGTGGTTTTCGACAAGGTCGGGATAGCGCTAGACGATGCTGAAGCGGCAGTGGACGATGCCGAATTGACGTTAGACGACGTCGGGGTGGAGTTCGACGATGCCGATGACGAAGTGGTCTCGATCGATACTGGACCAACCTTCGACGATACCGGAGTGGTCTTGGGCGATACTGGAGTGGTCATAGGCGATGCTGGAGTGATCATGGGCGATGCTGGAGTGGTCCCAGACGATACCGAAGTGGTCATGGGCGATGCTGGAGTAACCATGGGCGATGCTGGAGTGACCATGGGCGATGCTGGGGTGGTCTTCGACGATACCGGAGTGGTCTCGGGCGATGCTGGAGTCGTCCTTGAAGCTGAAGACTTCGTAGACGAGTCATGGGTAGACGCTGCCGTCACCGGAGCAGGCACAGCGGCTTCGTTTTTGCAAATAGTATTGCTGACGGTGACCGCACTGGGCAACTCCTCTGGCGCATTCTTCTCCTTCTCTTCCTTTAGCAGTTTGAGACGGGCCTCGTAAGGGTCGAGAAACTCGTTCCTGCTGAAGTACTTGCTGTCCCAGGCCAAGAAGTTGCTCGTGAACATGAGCGGTTCGCTGTTGCAGTGGACTGCCACGACGGGTGTGCCCTCGCCACGGCCGTCGCTTTGGACGACGGACAAATACTTTTCGGCAAGTGCCATGGCCTTGCGTCTCTCGGCTTCATTCGCACCAGCACCGATCCACACGTACAGCGTTGTGTACGTATCCAAGAGAAACACGTCGTCCGTATTGAGGTCATCTTGCGCGAAGTCGACGATCTCGCGTGCATCAAAGTACCCGTACGCATTCGAGCACTGGAACAGACGCGGCTCATGGGGCGCCTCGAACGACGACTTCGACTGTGCATACTCGCTCTTTCCATGCAAAAAGTCCCAGAAATCATCCGACTCGCTTCCCTCTTCAACAACCACAGTCTCGCGCTGTTTCTTTAGTACAGAGGCAATCTTGGACGCTACCTCACGCTCCGCACCGCTGCATCCAGCACCCTGCCACTCGTAAACCTTGGCAGGAGTCACCAAGACAAAGCAATCGCCTGAAGTGAGGCTCGACGCCTTCTCCTCGACCTGCGCGGCGAGCGTGTTCTTCGCGCTGGTACCCTTTACGTGGTAGAGCGACACGCCATCCGTATCGTACGAATCTTTGCCCTCACGGTTGGTGAAAGCACTACCCTTGCCGCCGGCGTGCACGATCATCGTTCCGTTAAACAATGCACGAAAGTGTCCTGGCTCCTTGCCTTGAGTCACACGGACCTGAACAGGAGTGCCGCCCAAGCTGTCGTCCAAGAACGTGGCCAGCACAGCCGACCTAGCCTTCTCATCGGTCGACGACGAGCGTCCCTGCCAGAAGTAAATTACTTGCGCAGGCTTGCCACTCGGGGGCGTCACTACGTCCAGAATGATGTAGCTATCGCCATCGTAAAATTGACCATACTGCTCCTTCGGCACTGCCACCTTCTCCAGGCCTTCGATACGCCACACTGTCACCTCATGCTTTCCGTCACCCGTGCTATCCACGCCGATATCCTCCTCAAACTGCCAATCGGCCTTCACCAATGCCTCTACGTCGACGGGCTTGTCCTCCTGCATCTTAGCGACCCCCTGGCTTGGCTGGTGACCGAATTCGAGCACCTTGGGCGGAGTCCAAGCTTTGAACAGCACCGTGAACAAGGGCGTTTCGCCACCTTCGACCACGCGCGTTATAGGCGTGTGCACCGGGCGCCCTTCTTTCTTCAGGTAGTGCTCAGCAACCGTCAAGGCGCTCTTGCGCTCGCTCCCTGAAGCCCCTTTGCCCACCCATGTGAACACCTCGTTGCCAGTGTCAATCACGAACACGTCCTCAGTCTTCAAGAGGTCCTTTGTGAGCACACCCGATGACGGTGTAATATCGTCGACCTGCAGATCGTCGCCCGTCGATTCGCTCACGCGGAGCACACTAGTGTTCTTCTTAACCGCGCTCTCATGGTGCTCATCTGACTCTCTCGACCGCGTCACAGTCGTGAAACCACCCAGAGCGGCCCAAAACGCCTCGTTTCTCGGGTCCTCCTCAATGAACTGGACACTTGCGCGGCCACCACGAGCTTCCCTGGTCTTGCAAACAAACTCCAGCGCCTTGGCTTTTTCCACACGATTGACCTCCTTTCCGGCGAATACGAAAAGCTCGAGCCCAGCATCCAGCACGTAAGCGTCATCCACGCTCAGAGACGAACTCTGTAGTGGCACTTGCTCAACACGCACGGTGCGGCTTCCCTTGATCCTGTATAGACGATTCGTGTACTCGTCGCGCTTGACTTCATTGAAGCCACTCGCAACACCTCCTGCAAGGTACTGCAGACCCGTCGTCTTGAAGTACGACAGGAAAAGTGGCTACACACCCAAAGAAGAACACACACATACACGTATATGGAGAGAGGGAGGGACACAGAACGACACTTAGGTACGGCAAACTCGTCAGCACCAGCACTGCAACACACTTACAGATTCATGGCCCTGGCACTCACGGTGCTGGACAGCTACGCCGCCCAGTGCGTCGTCAAGCTCCACGGTCTTGTACGCAGCTACACCGCTCTCGTCTGCAGACGACGCCTTGCCCAGCCAAAAGTGAAGGTGCCACGTCGGTCCAGCCCTAACAGCCACAGCCGTAGCATAAAGCACACGCATAGAGAGAGAGAGTGCACCAGTGCATCAGTTCGAAGCTCTAGTGTAGCAGCAAAGTGCTCGCGAAAAACGCCGTCAGCACGTACGTTGTCTTGAGGAATATGTAGCTATCGCCACTGTAGAGTTTGTGCTGCTCAGCGGCCGGCACAGGCACAGGCTCGAGGTCTTCAATGCGCCAGGCCTCAAGTCCCGCCTTCTTGCCTGCGTTCGTGAATGCGCTTTCGATCGCCATACCAGTGGTCAGGTGAACGGTCGTGGGGCGGTCGTGGCTTGAAGAGCGACGGTGGGGTCTGCAGTGGGAGTGGGTGGGAGGCGCCTGGGATGGAGCTGCTCGATTGCGAAATGAGACGTCGGGTGCGGGTGGGGGAAATATCGGGACTTGACTATACTCGCAGATTCGTGATATACTGTCGCATCTTTTTTTCTCCCTTCAAAGAAATTGCGCGGAAGCTGAGTACGACGTATACACCCACCACCCATCTATACAGATATACCTTGTAACCGGTATGGTTGAGGTGGCGTTCGTGTATATCGATATGACATAATCGATGGGGGGAGGGGCAACTTTGTACATTGATATGTTGGTACGCTTGTATGTTGGTACGCTTGTATGTTGGTACGCTTGTATGTATGTGTGTGTGTGTGGTGACGCTGCGTGAGTGACGTTTCGCATTTTTAGAACGACGGTCATGCACGACGTGTGCAATGGTAGTGTCGCCACTGCATCGCTGATTTTTTTTCGTTCACGAGTCCACTTGATCAGTGTAAAGGGGACTGTAGGAGCGAGTGCGGTCCCACGTGGACTACAATTTGTCTGCAGTAACAACTGTACAACGATAGCCGATATTCAGCGTCATCGCCTCATTACTTGCAGTGGCGAAGTGACGGCACAAGTGACATCTCGTAGCTTTTGCAAGGAACGAGCGCATGAGTTGCTGTCGTGCCATTGGACGTTTTGCAAAACTACAGAAAGTCGTCGAATGCAGCACAGAACAGACTGTCTTCGTCATACTGTCGATACAGTACGGCTATACGCACACATATCGACGGCGTCGACGTACTGCACGATTGTACGAGGCAACAAAGTGGCTGTAAAAACTGTCGATTGCTTGTTAAGGCTGATCATACCGCCTCGCGAAACTGCATTGCTATGCAGGAGTGTCGCTTATGCTGCAACGAAGGCGACCAAGTCGCGCAGATAAGCACTCGTGCGAGTCGGTTTTTGACCAGTGCGGTCATCGCGACCGCATCGTCCCCATGTCGCCCAACAAGTCACACGCACTGGCACGACTGCCGTCGAGTGCTGCACATAAACTGTGCCGCAACGTGACACACCCACATCGGACGCCGCCTCCGTCGAGGTGCTGCACATAAACTTGGCACGAAATGAGCCGCGCGTCACGACGCCACCTCAATTAAGGTACCGCACATAATTTACAACACGACACTCGGCGCTCCACCTCTTGGCTCTTGCGCGTCATACCGCGACGCGTCAACAGTATGTTGGCACGGCAACTACTTGCCCCACAGCGCACGTTCCGGTCGGTGGCGTTGCGTGCGTCCACGTCGATTCACGCACGATTTCTTTCTGCGCCCGTGTTCCCCGAGGACCATGAGGAGGACGAGGAGGTCATGAGTGGCGGCGAGCCTTCGGGTTCCGAGTACGACACGCTTGACACGTATTTGATGACGCTGAAGAAGTACAACCCGCCGATCAAGACGGGTCTGAAAGGTCTGAACCTCGTGCACGACCCGCTGTACAACAAGGGCACGGGGTTCCCTCACGTCGAACGGGATCGGCTCGGTACGTCGATACATATGACCCCAACTGCCGATACGTTGCTCTTCTTCTTCTTCTTCCTTTGTGCTTGGACTGACGCGAGACATGTGGTGTGGTGTGCGCTTGTGCTGTGCTGCTGACAGGTTTACGAGGTCTGGTGCCGCCGCGTCGACTGACGGTGAAAGCGCAGCTGACGAAGCTGTACGACACGTTTTCGCACGAGAAGGACGCGCTGAGCAAGAGCCGCTTCCTCACGGATTTGCACGACCGTAACGAGACGCTCTTCTTTCGCCTCCTGATCAAGCACATGAAGGAGATGGGTGGGTGCTGCTGTTTTGTTTAACTCGTGCTATGTGATGGCGTGACGCGCTCGCTTGAACGACAAGGCTGCGGACTGACGCGGCATTGTGCTGATATGTGATGCCACGTTCAGCCCCTGTTGTTTACACCCCGACGGTCGGCCTGGTGTGCCAAAAGTTCGGCCACTTGTTTCGCCGCCCACGTGGGATGTTCTTCAGCACGCGCGATCGCGGCCAGTTCGGCGCGATGGTGCACAACTGGCCGGCGGATGACGTGGAGGTGATTGTTGTCACGGATGGCAGTCGTATCTTGGGGCTCGGTGACCTTGGTGCGAACGGCATGGGTATCCCCATCGGGAAGCTGGCACTGTACACTGCTGCTGGTGGCATTGATCCACGCAAGGTGCTGCCAGTGATGCTCGACACGGGCACGAACAACCAGAAACTACTTGAGGATCCGTACTACCTTGGTGTGCAGCAGCCGCGTCTTACGGGTGAGGCTTTCTGGTCCATGGTGGATGAGTTCATGCGTGCTGTGCGTCACCGATGGCCCAAGGTGCTGGTGCAGTTTGAGGACTTCTCAAGCGAGCACGCTGCAGACGTGCTGAATGCGTACCGTCTCAAGCAGCTGTGCTTTAACGATGATATCCAAGGAACGGGCGCGACGGTGCTAGCTGGTGCTTTGAGCGCCTGCGAGCGTGTGCAGATTCCGTTGAAAGACCAGCGCATCGTGATACTTGGTGCCGGAAGCGCAGGACTCGGTGTGGCCACTACTCTGCTCCAGGGTATGCTGCGTGAAGGTATGACGACAGAAGAAGCTCGCCAGCACTTTTACATTCTCGACCAGTATGGACTGCTTGGCGAGTCTCGAGAGATGCTGAACTCGGGTCAGCAGTTCTTTTCGCGCAGCGACATTGCAGACAAGACGAGCCTCGTAGACGTGATCAAGCAGGCGAAACCCACGATGCTCATGGGTCTAAGTGCCGCTGCAGGTGCGTTTTCGCAAGAGGCTGTCAAAGAAATGGCGAAGCACACGAAGCAACCGATCGTGTTCCCGCTGTCGAACCCCACCTCCGTGGCAGAGTGCACAGCTGAGCAAGCGTACGAGTGGACCAAGGGCAAGTGTGTGTTTGCCAGTGGCAGTCCGTTTCCGCCCGTCATGTACAATGGCGTGCAGCACGTCATCAGCCAGTGCAACAACATGTTCATCTTCCCGGGAGTGGGCCTTGCCGCGTCAGTGATCCAAGCGACCCGTGTGACGGACGGCATGCTCTACTCTGCTGCGAAGGCGTTATCGCAGTGCATGACACCAGAAGAGATTGCAAGTGGGCAGGTGTTCCCTTCTGTGGAGAACATCCGCGACGTGTCGCTCAAGGTGGCCACGGCTGTCTGCGAGACTGCCCTGGAGGAAGATGTTGCCGGTCTCCGGCCGACGATCCGCCGTGGTGCAACGCTAGAAGACTTTGTCGCTTCCAAGATGTACTACCCGACGTACCATGCGCTGGTCGAGTAAGCGGGTTGGAATTGGTTGACCGCATGGCGAGGCATATTTGGAGTGAGCAATAAGCGCATCGTCGGTATCTGTTCATATCCGAGGATGCATGCTGTTCGAGGTTAAGAGAGAGATGCAGTGTTACATGTACAAACGCCTTATTCATCTGTCATAAGGGCCTCGTTGCGTTAGCCGCAGACAGCGTCTCGTTGATTGTACGCAACAGTAGACTCTGTGCCAACATGTGCACACTTCTCTGATGGACCAGTACAGCACTCGAGGTTTTGCGAGATCGAAAAGTCTACCACATATCGGCAATCGATCGTACACGCTCGCGTGACGTTGCTACTGGCGCATTCCTTTGCAGCACATTAGCAACGAGCGCATGAGACGTCGCGCGTACGTATCGACGAGTGCCGAGCTCACCTTTCGCTACGCATGGGCGAGGCAAGTAGAGCAAACTTTGAGACCAGCGCGTCAAAAGGCTTTCCGTCGTCGCCCTCTCCAGCGTCTTCCAAAGTGCGCAAAGCATGCAGACAGCCGGTCACGGATCCTCGCGGGGCGTCAATGTCAACTCCACTCGCGTACTCGAACGTCTGCCCTGGTGCTAGCAACGGCGTGGCCCCCACGATTCCTGGCGAATGCCGCGGCAGCGCAACCCGCTGACCCTTTTCGCTCTCAAACGTATATTGGCGTCCCAAGATCTGAACCGAGGACTTCTCGTCTGGATCAAAACAACGTTGACATGAGGAAAAACACACGTCGTGAGCACAGGCGCAACAACTGAAGCCCTCGAATCTAGCACAATCTGAACCATTCTCACTTTCATTGGTGATGGTGATCCGGTACGTAAAGCGGTAAGTGTCCGACGCCGGGTTGCTGTGACTCTCCACATACGTGCTCGTCGCTTCGATGCGGACGCCACCGGTGACTGTCACTGCAGCACCACATCGAAAACAACAACAGCAGTGACGACAGCAGCAACGCCGACACGTCAGGATACCGAAGAAAACAAGCTGCCGATACCATCACTCATAAGCCTCCAGTGCGTCGTACCACTAGAGCAGTGTGCGAGAAACAGCTGGTCGGCCAGTTCACTCAATGCCCTGCAACACAGGGTCCACCGCCGCGCACACAACAACACACAACAAAGTCAACTCATCTCTTCCTTTCTTCGTCTACAACACAGCCATCGCCTCCTTGTTACAGGCTCTCCGTACTTGATAGCATCGTCCACTTTTGCACTTGCAGCCTATCAACACCCGTTGAACGCAATCACAAAACGAAGTAAACGAGAGAGAGAGCGACCTCTCGTCGTGAGCTCTTTTCCTCGATCCGCGTCCCCCTCTCTTCAGTTCAGCACGTTCGATACATACCTCAGCATCCCGAAGATGCACATTCTCTCGAAACGCCAACCGAATGCTCTGTCGCAGGTCCACAGTACGCGGTCTAATGAAGAACCCGTCGTCCCGCAGCTGCTGATACTGCGCGAGCGACTTGAACACCACTGCGTCCGAACCGTGTACCATCTGCTCGTACTTTACCAGTGGCTCGACATACCCGCCAGTTCCCCATTGCTCGAGCTGAAGCTGCCGTCGAATGTTCACGTGCGGCGTGCGCTGCAGTTCGCGCGCGTCGCGTAGGAGACACCGGTAGATCGCGCGAACAAGAGTCGACGACGGCATGCGGCAGTGGTAAATGGTGTGCGGTACACGCATCATACACGGAGTGTACACGACCACTCCACCCACACTTGGTTCGTTGCGTTACTTCAGACACGGAAAAGGGGAGCGGGTATTTTATTTTAGACTTCGTTTTTCCTGACGGCGCAAGATTTCGCGTCCGTCGCTGGTGGAGTCGACCGCTGCAAGAAAAACGAAAGCAAGCGCAGACATGACCGAGGCAGTGTCGACGACGGCAGCCGCAGTGGCGATGCCGAGCAAGATGCAGCTACCAGAAGAGGTCGTGACGCACCCACTCGTGCTCCTGAGCATCGTGGACCATTACAACCGCGTGGCGCGCGACACGAGCAAGCGCGTGGTGGGCGTGCTCCTGGGCTCGACGTTCCACGGCAAGTGCGACATTACCAATTCGTTCGCCGTGCCTTTTGACGAGGACCTGCGGAACCCGGGGATCTGGTACCTCGACCACGACTTTCTCGAGAACATGTCGCTCATGTTCAAGAAGATCAACGCGAAGGAGCGCATCGTGGGCTTTTACAGCTCGGGCCCTAAGATCCGGAAAGCCGACTTGGACATTGACGACCTCTTTCGTCGGTACTGTCCGAACCCAGTGCTCGTGATCTGTGACGTGCGCTCGAACGTCGAGGGGCTGCCAACAACAGCCTACGGCTCGGTCGAAGAAGTCGAAGAGGACGGGAAAGCAATCAAGCGCGTGTTTAAGCACATCAAGTCGACCGTGGGGGCCTATGAAGCCGAAGAAGTTGGGGTCGAGCACTTGTTGCGCGACATTAATGACCCGTCGGTGAGCTCGTTGGCTGGACAAGTGAAGCACAAGATGACGGCATTGAGCGGGTTGAAAGAGCGACTTGAGGAGATGAAGACGTATCTCGAGAATGTCGTAGCGGGCCGTCTGCCGCCGAATTACCAGATCATTTACAACATGCAGACCATCTTCAACCTGCTGCCGAATCTGAACGTGGACGAGCTCGTGCGGTCCATGTTTGTAAAGACCAACGACATGCATTTCGTACGTGGACGCGTGCTTGCTGGTATCTCGCTGTGTCGGGGTGTGACGGAAAGAGGTGTTGACATGCTTCCATCGTTGTTGTTGTTGTCACTGACTGCTGCTTCAGGTGATCTACTTGTCCTCGCTCATTCGCTGCACGATCGCGCTGCATAATCTTGTGAACAACAAGATCAAGTACAAAGAGTCGGAGGAGGTAAGCTGCTCGGAGAGGAAGGACGAGAAAAAGGAGACTGCTGCAATGGACAAGGCAGCCAAGGACAAGCCAAGCGAAAAGGCTTCTTGAAGCTATTGCACAGCTATTGTGCTGGCGCAGTAAGTCGTGCTTTCCAATGAATGACTTTGCTGATCCGGTGTTTCCTTCTCTTCTCGATAGATGTCACCACTTGAGCTAATTTGAACATTGTACAGTTAATTTCTTCTCCTACACACGATTGTCCGCGACACGAAGTCGCAGACAATGGCAAGTGCGGCGTAGGTTTCTACCAAAGCAACGTAATGAGATCGGAGGAGACATCCAGCTGTTGCAATTTTTTGGCCAAAGGGTACAGACACACCGTCGCACGTTCGTACATGGGTACGAGTAAGAGTGCCTACCCGCCACCTACAACGAATGCGCACCAAATCGCACAGATGCACGCAAACGAGCAGAACCGAGTGGTCGCCTGGCAATGGCTGGGAACTAAATTGCATGTTGATCTGCACGGCAAATGAACAAACCCGACGACATCAGTCCGACGAAATCATCGTTCATTCTTTCCGTATCACTCATTACGTGTGTCAAGTGAGTACTGGAATCCAATTCAAAAAAAGTATCAACAGACGTCAACGTCATCCAACGCCTTTGAACTGATCCACCGGCCGCCACCTGCGCTTTGGCTCCAGCGGTACATTACAAAACCACTTACCAACCTTTGGCATCGCCTGAATGTACCCACTCAAGCGCCACGCTGCGAGCGCGCCTCGATTCTCTTTTCCTCCAATCGCCTACCTCGACACACTGATTTCAACCAATCCACATCCACACCTTCCCACCACCAGCACAACTTCCATCGCCGCCACCACCAGCCGTCACTTGCTCGTCCCGAATGGTTCGCGCTGCGCCGGCCACGAAGACCAAGCGGAAGCCCGCGGACTTCAAGCGGCCGAAGCGCAAAGTCGGTCGACGGGTCGCACCTGCTGCCAATGTCACGTCCGTGGGCATCACCTCCCGCCGCATCAATCTGCTCGAGCAGTCGCTGCTGCAAGACAAGAGCCACGCCGCGCAACTGACGCACCGGCACCAGGCGCTACCAGCGCTCCTGCAGCAGATTGGACACTACAATGCGCATATGCGTCAGCGCGCGCTGCAGGGACTGAAGGAACTGGCAGCGCAGGACACGGCCAGTAACTTGCGGGCCAACGCGTCGGTGCTGCTGGAGCGCTTTTTGCCAGCGCTGCTGGACGAAGAAGGCGTCGTGCGGGACGCGGCCGTGCAAGCGTGGAAAGCCATGCTGCCCGTGCTGGCGCGTGCCTTGAAGCCGTTTGCGACGCTCGTGGTCACGTACTTTTGCAGTGGACTCACGCACTTGCAAGTCGGTGTGCGGCAAGACGCACTGAAAGCCATGAACGAGCTCGTGGACGTTGCGCCTGCGCTCGTGCAACAAGATGCTGGGCCAGCAGCTCAAAGTCGATTGCTGGAAAACTTTCGCGACTTGATTGGAGCGGCACAGACACAAGGCATCCGGATGAAGAACACCTACGACGTGTTGGCGACGGCTTCCGAGGCGAGCAGTAGTCGACGTGCAAAGCAAACAGAAGGACGGCAAAAAATGAGAGGCTCTAAGAAAGCTGAAGGACCGTCGGGTGCACTGGCGCTGCGCTTCGTGGCGCTCAAAGTGCTGCATAAAGTGCTGCTGTTGATAAGTACTGAACCGAGAAGCAAGAGTGCGAAGGCGCTAACGCAGAGTGCACGGTCAGCTGCGGTGGTACCAACGACCAAAACACTGCTGCTGTACCCCGTACCGCAGCTTGTCGCGACAGGCATGTCTGCTACTACTGCTTCGTCGATGACAAACGCTGCAAGTACGACAGGTTGTGCGTCGTGGCAAGAGAAGACGCGTGCTTTGCTACCAGCTCTGTTGGAGTTGTGGCTGGAGTGTCTGGATGGTAGCAGCGACGCGCTGTCGGACGTGCACGTGGAGCACATGAAGTACATTGTCGAGTGCACGACTGCTGTAGTAGGCGCCAACACGGACTTGCTGGATGCGAATGTCGATGGAGCCAGAAAAAGTGAGTTTTTTCAGACAGTGTTGAAACTGCAGGAGCGACTTCTCGCACCAGAGAGCTACCCGATGCTGCCGAGTGCGAGTGCAGCTCTTTCTGTCACTTCTGATGGATCAGGAGCACTTTCACGATGGCACGGTTTGAACGTCTCGCTATCAAAATTGGCGTGCGCGTTTCTTCGTCTTCCTGCCTTCACGAGTGTTTCTGTCAAAGATATGCCGCAGGATGAGACATTAGAAGAACGCGTATGCTCGTACGTTATCACTACTCTTGCAAAGTACAAGGAAACGCACGAACTTCGTGCTGTCGCCAGTATGCAGAATGTACTATGGCCTCTGCTTGAAGTCGTCGGGCTCATTTTGGACTCTGCTTCACAGCGTAGCAATCCTTTGGGCTCCGAACGGACAACGAATGGTGAGCAGATTCGCTTACTGGGCGCAGTGACCGAATTCTATGTGCTTTGCACGCCGAAGTCGGTGAGTTTTCGAACCTGCACGGCATTCGTTATCAGGCAGCTGGACACTGCGCTGCGTGGTCAACAGCGACAGAGCCAAAAGCTTGAGTGGCCAATGGTGATGCAGTGGGTGGTATGCTTTGCTGAGCTCCTCAGTCAGCTTGACTTGCAGCACATGGAGCTTGGCAGACGCTGTTTGCTTGCTTTGATTTCTGTTCTGAAGCAGCTTCCTGCTGAATTTGCGGATGGCGATCAGATGGACGGCGTGTTGACAAATCTGTCGAGTTTCTTCAACCTGGCAGCAGTTGTTCCTCCTTCGGTACCAGAAGACGAGCAACAAAGAATGCCGGTGCGGACGCACTTTGATGCCTTGGGTGCGGCGGACCAGCTAGCTTTCGCGGCCATTGTGTATCACCTACCGTGTTATCCTGTGCACCTGTTGCGTGCGCTTGCAAGCTGTTGCAAGAGTCCACGCATCTACAGCGAAGCAAAGAGCTTTCTCGTAGACGTTCTCTTCCAGCGGCGCGAGGCTGTGGATCTTGCTCACATCGTGAGCTTTTTCGTCAGCACAGCTCTTGCACCGGTTGAGGCAAATGCTGACCAGCAGCAGCAGCAATTGCAGCTTGTTGATCATGTATGCCGCACGTTTCTTGCGATGAACTTGGGGAGCTCGCTGCCGAAGATTCTGGCGCCAACGTTGGCGAAAGCTCAAAGTCGCAAAGAAATGACCTCGATTGAACTGCACACATTGATGGTGCTATATCGCGCGTGCGTATCCTCTGCTATGATTCACAGTGCTGAGGCTCACCAGCAGCGCTCTGACATTCCCGAAGAAATGGAGCGAGAGCTGCTGAGCTTATGTGTTAAGGTTTTTGAAGACTACTTCGCGTCATTGACAAGTGCGCAATCAACACCGATGGACGACAATGATACTCAACAACAGGAGCGATTACTTGTACAAACGTGCGTATCGACTCTTGCTCTTGGCGAGAGGAACATCTTTGCAAAATTTCTAGACGAGTTTCTGGTGGTGCAGCAGCTCTGCCCTATTGTGACTTGTCGTTTGCGCGTGCTCCAAGCGCTTGTGCGAAGTCCAAACCTGGCAGGAGCATTCAGGCGTCATCAGAGCCATATGGAGAAGCTGCTGCAGTTGGTGGAGCAGCAACACGCTGACGAACGTGATCTTGTGCCGCTTGTCCGGCAGTTGCGTGGAGACCTTGAGCTTCTTTCTGTCGGTCAGCTGATCAACGACGACTGTTCCAAGTAGATGGCATCTAAAAATATGGCATTGATGAACACCGTCGATTGATGACTGCTTCCTATGCACAAGTCTTATTCTGTTGTCGCCTTTTTCAGTGCGAAGAAGCAGACGTGGTGGCGTTGGCGTATGGTGTCGCCCTGTGTTTGTGTGCGCCTGATTGTATCGGGAATGATGGCCATGTCGTACCCTTATGCTTTAGCCAGACACTCCGCCGCCCAGCCAGACGACGATCCGCAGGTAGAGAATCCAGTTCGGCAAAGAAGAGTTTAATCAGTGGCCTCATCTGTACTTGCAGGCGTGCTCTTGGGACATCAAGATCTGTGGCGATGGCACTTGGGTTTACCGTGTCGTGGAGCGCAATTGTGGATTCGACGATTGCCTGGCGAAAGTTGCTGAGAATCACTGTTCATCGAGCTCGTCTAGGACACTTTGCTAAACAAGCGATTCGAAAGCAGCTTGGAAACGTGCTTGTAGTGTAACGAGTTCGACATGTGCGATCAGGACCTTCCCCAAGATTCTCGACACGCAGATACCTGCTACTGATGGTAGCTGCTGGAATGAACGCTTTGGCGCTGGTGCGGTACCTTGGTCGTAAAGAAGTAGTCTCGCCTGAGGAGACGAATGATAGCAGCAAGCGCGCACTTGCGTCGGAATGAGCGCTCCATTGGATCAGCACTTTTCGCCGATCTTTTGCTGGCAATTCGCTGCCGCCTCGAAACAATTCCATACAACAAAGCCGAACCAGCAGCAAACCAACGCAATAGTAGAAAACGCAACAAGGAGAAGTTACACCCGTCGGCTCGCGGGACTTACGTAAACGCGAAAAAGTGCAAAAGCTGGTCAGATATGTGTGGATTAACGGTAAACAGCTTGCGGTGCACGTTTGCTCGAGGTCGGACAGACATTAGCGCGCAGCTCGTGCATGTAGCTGCTACTTCTTGTGGCTTGCTCAGGATCCGGAGAAGGATGCTTGACCATGGCTGAACTTCTTCTAGCACGCGTCAGGTTCTACGAGTTCTTTTGTGATCGTGCCGTTGCGTACGAAAGCGCCGCGGGGTTTGCGATAGCCTGAATGACAAATGACATCGCAGATTCTCGTATTGGCATGCATGCGAGAATCTGCAGGCGGATTGGAAGAGGAGCGATGGCAGCAGACATGTCTAGTCGGCCCATACGAACCATCCACGACAGTTCTCAGAAACCTAAACGTGTCCATTTATGTGAAGCTGTACAGACAAGAGTGATCTGCATCTTTACAACAACGTATAGGCTAGAGAGCTCGAGGGAGCTCAGTTCCTAAAGCGTACACAAAATTCACTAGATCGGAGCAAGATTAGGACGTGTCCAGATGACATCCGTGACATCCCTCTTGCTGCCACAAACTAGACAAGGCCGTGTCATATTTCTAGGACGAGAAAAGCTGCACGTCAAGTAAGCGTAAAAAACGTCACAAGGAGACACTCCTTACAGATGACTGGTTTCGCGCGGGGCAGTGGTTGTGCAGCAGCAGTAGAATCTGCTGGCAGCGGTGCAACGGCCAAATTACTACAAAGCGGTTGTTTTGGCTCGAAAATGGCATTCAGCCTTTGGAAATGGCATTCAGCGCTTTTACCGTACATATGAATAGACCATCCTGGATGCAGATGCTGCTCTAATTGTTTATGAGGGTTGATACCACCACACACACTTCCAAGTATTCGTGCAACCTCCTACATCGGTAGCCTCGCATCCTCTATACCATAGCCACGAGCCTCCGCAACACATATTCCAATCACATGCGCTTGACACTCTGCGCACATTCGATACGACGCGCTGCGTCCATCGAGCGCAGGTAGGGGTGTGTCCAGAAAAGGCCAAGCAAGTAGAATGAAGAAGAAAGATACAAGATGAAGCACAGAAAGTAAAGGCTGTAATCACGAAGCAGCGTTGGTCAATCAACATCTATTTATTCATTTTGGGAAAGCATCTTCGCCGGGTTTGTCTGAGCCGCTGGCAAGCTACACAGTGCCGCTGCTGACTGACATCGGCTCACTATGTCACATGCTAAACTGCTGATTACACGTCTTCACAATCCGCATGCTCCAACTATTCAGCCCCTGGCGGCAATGCAGACAGTATCTGAATGTTCATTTCGCCTTGAGTCAGCATGTCGATGTTGTACGAAAGCTTACTTTGTTGTGGCACATCTCTCTATACTGTGTGTTGCGCCAATGCTGTTCCTGGGCTTCGACATGGTGCTGCAAAGATGGCTTTATGCCCGCGCATGTGATCAGCACACCTTCACCGTCGAAACTCAATAACATTCTACATCAGCTGCTTTCTGTACGGTAATCTGCACGTTAGCAAGAGTACCATGAAGGATCAGCTAGAGCACAACATTCGGGATGAGAGAGTTTTGTGATACGATTATTTAGTAGGAAATGGGCGCCTTATGGTTTCGTGTGTCCTTGAGCATGATGGCTGACGAGGTACATTTTTTAACGCAGTAGAAAAGGTCACGAAAAGTATCGCTGCGTAAATGCTGGTTGGATGCTGCGATATCTATAAACCGATAAGTGTGTGTGGCTACCGGCGTGGAGATTGTATGGGTAGTCAAAAGTGCGCGCTAGCGGGGATCTACTCCAATACTATGACTCTACTGCAGCGTCACTGCAACGCCTGGACCTGAGCAGACACTTCTCTTAACATTGGATGTGTTTCTCAATATGAAACGTAGAAGGCAGGAGGTTAAGTGGCTATTTCCTAACAGCTTTTGCGCTCTAATGCAGCACCCCTTGGCTGCTAAAGGAAGTGGAATGTAGGAAGTAGCAAAAAGCAAAGTGATATTCATTGCTCATCTCTTTCCAATGAGCGTAACTTTCTTATAGGACGAGGAGGAACCCTTCCATGGAACCCCCCTTCAAACGTCATGACTCCTGCCGACCCCAATCAATCATCAATCAACAATCAACAGGTCGTACACGACTCGGAGTTACAGGTCACTCCCGGTCTGTTCGGTCGAGTCCAGGCAGTCAGACAGTACTTGAGCTTGCTTTTCCCAGAAGAATAGAGGAATCGCTTATATTTCCAACTCACAACCGCGATCGTCCATCATCTCGATGGAGCTGAATCAACAGCAGAACCGCTACAGCGTGGAAGCCTTTACTCATTTCATGTACAGTAGAAAAGAGATCACTTCCGATCCAGAAGCGCTCGAATGGGTGTCACATTGACTGCGGAAGTAGCACCTCCAAACTACCCGGAGCTCGAGTGGTTCAATGTTCGTGTAAAACATAGGACCAAACACAAGTGACTTCCATGCGACGGCTCTTGTCGGATATGAATGAAAAATGCACGGACAAAGATTGTGGATCGCGACGCTTGGACGGTGACCACTCAGCCGGTCTAAATCTCGATGGAACCTTCGTCTTAATGGTTTCGCTGCAGCGGTCGAAGGCTTGACGCAGATCGCGTGACTGACTGAAATGGCGCAACACAGCAGGAGGTGTCCTGTCAGCACGTCTTGAATGACAATCACGCGTTCTGAACGGCGGGGTCTGAAGGTCACCGACGATTGCAGCATGGCTTAGCTCAACGTGCGATCCAAGTGAGTAGCCGATACTGCGAGCGGTAACAAGCAGGTCAGCTATTGTGCGGTGCGTGCCTTCCACACAATAGCTGACCTGCTTCATCGACACGCCACGGCGAAATCGATTACATCCGGAAGAGGACGAAAGGAGGTGACCAAATAACTAGCAAACAGAATGGACGGAACAAACGTGATACTACATGTGCTCTATGACAACAGCGGCTGATGTACTCAGCTCAGGGGCAGCAGGCCGTACGGCTCACTCAGCAAAGCTAGCAGCCATGTAAAGTGCCCAGGAACGGGATAGACCGTCGTCCATTTCGGTTTTCTGTAAGACTCGCATCGCGCGCTGCTTGTCGACCATTGCAAAGTTCGCGTACAACAGCGAGAGCCAGGGGTTGCTCGTGTCCTCGCGCGTGACGATCGCCTCGTTTCCCAGCACCTGCTCCCACTCCTCTTGTACAAACTGTTTGGTGCGCACGAACTCGGTCACAGCGGACACGGGGATCATCTGAATGCCGTGGATGCAATACTTCTCGGCGCTAAACCACGTCGCGTAGTCCACCTTGTTGTCAAAAAAGATACCCGTGACCTTGTTGGGGCGGAAGTTGGCCGGATGGATCTGGTTTGCGTCCTCTACGAGGAAGTACGTCTTGATCGCGTGCGAGTTGACGCGCGTCATGAGCTTGCCGACGGCTTCCATGGCCGCGTTGTTTGTGGCCTTGCCGTACATGTACATGCCAAAAGCGAAGTTGACGTCCTCCGACGTGCTCTCTTGGTCTTTGCCATCGGCAAACGAAGTCACACCGTGTGAGTACGAGTGGCCACGGAACCAGTCGAACGAGCGGAACCGGGTGAAGAACCTGTCGTCTGGGTCGAAGTTGGCGACGTCGCGAACGAGTAGGTTGACCATGGCGTTGAGTTTGCTGAGATCGCTCCACGTCGGGTCGAGTCGGTTGATGATGGCCGCCGCGTGCACCCAGTAGCCGTAATGGAAGTGGTGGTCGTTGTACATGGTGTTCCCGAAGTCCGAGTTCAAGTCCTTGGTCTTGAAGCTCTGTGAGCTTACGATACCGCCGTAGACCTGGTCGTACTGGAGCTTGTTGGTCCAAGTGTTGGCCACGAACGGCGCCATTACACGGCGTAGCTTCTCGAGACACTTGTTAAGTAGACTCTTGTCGTCGCCCATGACCGCTACGTCGTTCGCAATCAGACACAGGGAGGCATACTTCTGCGCAGCTTTGCCGTTGAAGTAGTAGCTGCCGTTCAGCGGCATGGACCATGTGCTGTTGATGTCTTCGCGTAAGTGGTCGATGATACGCTGCTGTCGAACGACGTCCGATGTAATCTTGCGGGACGGATAGATGTCTTCGGGTACGGGCTGAGTCTCCTTGATCTCCCACACCGGATCGCCGGGTCCACCTGATGTTGTGAAAGCCTGATGCGCGCCTCGGGTCGTCGAGAAGGCTATCATGCCGTCCACCTGGCGCACGCCGTTGCTCGTGACCAGGGTCTCAGCATGGTGTTTCATTGCGAAATGCAATAGACCACTAGAACAGTCTCCCATCGTCTTCCACTTGAACACGTAGGAGCTGTCGTCACGGAGGTCAACATTTGCTGCTTGCACGGTGCACAACTTGTGTTGTTCCAGCGTGCTAAGCCAGGAGTCTTCGAGAACGAGAGCAACGCGCAACATGCCGTCGAAAACACCCGTGCTCTTGAGTGCAGATGTACCATCGGCAGTCAGAGTGATGTCTTTTGCCATGCGACCGTCGCTCGACAGTACGAAGACTACCCACTTTTGACCGGAGTTGTAGACGATCTCAAACTTGGAGCCACGCACTTGAAGACCCCCTAGGGCACGACCGTTTACAGTGGAGATTGCTGCTGTTGACACCAGTCGCGGAGTAAGTCCCGAGTACTTCATCGAGGCGTAGACCATGCCGGAAACAATGTCCGACATCATACTGCCACCGGACGAGCTGACCGTGAACTTGACGGTCACGCCCTGGTCCGCCCAGTCGACAACTTGGAAGGTAGGCTTTTGCTGCACGATTTCTTCGGCCGAAAACAAGAACTCGCGAACCATTCCGTGCGCATAGAACTTGACGGCACCGTTGTTGCCGGAGTTGCCGCCACTAAAGCGACTGCGATACGGATAGCTTGTGGACATGCCGAAGGGCGCCTTGTCGACGACCATCTGCAGGGAGTACGGGTTCGACCAAATGGGTTGAATGGCTGCATTCGAGTCGTGCGCGATGACGTTTCCCCACCAGTTGTTGGTTGGGATCGCGCGGTTCTTGATCGCCGATGGATCAAGGTACTTGGGTGGACACAGATCCATCATTGCGGTTGTGCGCTTGACGGGGTAGCTGGGCGGCTCTAGCGCGCGAAACTTTGGGAAGGCGCCGCCGCCACCGACATTTACGGGTGACAGTTCTGCTGACGCCGACAAATTTGCGTCGCTACCATCCGTTCCATTGGAAGTACTGCTACTGACGACATATGCAGACGTGGATGCCTCCACATGCGAGCCATCGCTGGAGCTGAATGTACTAGTTCTGTCCAAGTTTTCTTGACTGGCAACTTGAACAAGCTGTAGATGCTGGAGAACCGTGGCGAGTCCAACCAACATTGTCGCGGAAATCTTCATGCTTGTCCGTGTTGCAGTTGGATGCTGATGTTGTTGATCGCAGGCGAGGTGTCGAAATGACAAGTGCACAGTGACGTCTTCGAGAGCACTTGATCGCATAGACAAATGCAAGAGTCTACGTATCCACGATGGTCAGCAAGCGTAACGAGCACCCGTCGGCTGAGGGCGTCAATACTCGATGATCCCAACGCATAATGACGACAGCCTCCTTATTGTACGTTCTATCTGCAGCATTCAGGACGAGATTGACACATCGTCTTTTGCTAGCGATGCCTGGTCAGCGCAACCAAATCATCAGCTCGACTAACGGTGTCTTGTGAGCTTACTAAGTTTACTGCTGGAGATAAACTTCAAGTGCTCACGTAAGTCTGACTTCGCTTCAGCACGGGTTCATTTATCTCTGCAACGGGCGACAGACACTGGTCAGCATACTGCAGAGTCAAAGCAGACTAGAAACGCAATGCACCAGTTTCAAACGCGTACCGGTCAAGTTTATCACCTACTCGCTATAATCGACCACAACAGTCTGTGGATATTGTCGTCTCTTCGGTGGTTTCGGAAACCGTTTCTAGTGCAGACCGCTAGCGTACAATTCGTGCACGTGTATCATTTTTCTTGTGGGATCGTTACACTCGTGAATACTCGAGCGGAAAAAAATTGAAGGCGTGGATACAGCATGGAGACACGATCGAAAAGTCTGGCTCTCGATAAATGCCTAGTGGTTAGCGTCTATCTCCCCTTGTACGCTTATCCTTTACCGAGTCCTTCATGCAGCATCGTTTTTGTCTTCAGGTGTACGGACGACCAATCTTAGAAAATGCATAACTTGAACGCTGTCGAGAACGACAGGCGGTCCGCGGTCAAGCGGTGATGCCAGAAGCTGCTTTGATTTAGCTGAATCGAAGCTAAACCTGTTGCAGTCTACCTTTGCTGTGGCTATGATTGAAAAAAAAACGGTTGACGTGTGTGTTCCTCAAGGACGTTGCTATAGATGCCATTACCGTTCGCTCCTGACGTTTCACTTGGATACTCGCGAATTTCCGTTTCTCAAACGTGGCTCCATAGTTTGCACGCAACTTGACGCGTGAGCCAAGTATTGACACTTTGGTCTTTACTGACAGTAGTGCAAAGCGCTTTAGTACTGTACACTCACCGACTCGTCTACTGATAAACACTGGCGATTAGTCATGCTTCTACCGACTCGAAGGAGCTTAGATCCGGTGATGGGTTAGGTACCGGTCCTCATCCCATGCTCAGAAGAAGTGTATCGCGAGAGAAGATAGCTGACTATATAACGTGATGATTACGAAGGATCGACAATAGGAGTATGATGGATGGTGAATCACCGTATGTTATCGAAGCAATCACGATGGATCCTCGATATTCAAGTTACTGATTATACATGTTCCCTTGTTCCACAATGGCTTCCAGAAGATTCGAACAAGTGTAAGGGGATGATGGGTTTCGATGTGTATAATCTGGTGTCGTTGCATAAGCAAAGTGCACTCTCATTTGACTGTCGTGTCGATAAGTCGTTGGTGAAGTCTCTACATAGTCTTACATTAAGAACAGTGAAGTGATATGTGACCGCTCGACTGTAGTTATAACGTGCAATCGGCTCTCAACTACCGCGAAATGTTTGGTATTTTCATGAACCTTGGAGGAGCGAGTTACTTCGTGTTGAGCTCAACTTGCCGGGAACAAGTCCTCCAATAATATCTTTCATGGCATAAAGCTAAATGTGTCCTTAACCCCAACTGACTCGGCGAATATTTGCGTGACGCCGATCTGTTTACCAGCCTTTCTATATATTGTACTACGCAGATAAAGAATCCTCTATATCACTTCCGAGGACATTTGTCTTGATATTTCTCATGTATAATATCGTTTCAATCATAAAAAAGATCGAGATAAAGCACCAAAAGCACTAATAGCACCATTATCAGTAAGACCTGATCGAGCTGCTACGCCTGAATAGGATAGGCTAACGATAAAATCGCTAAGCCATATAGGGAGGCATCTGGGTGAGCGTCAAGCAATATTAGATCCAACCTATTAACATTTGAACCACACAACCTTTTGTAACTGCTTCACAAGTTTTGCACGCTTCATCTGTTTATGCACATACGGGAATGAGCAAAATTACTCTTCCCGATGGGGGAAGATCATGATCACAAATTGTTTTTGACGAAGGGGTAAGTACATTAGGTTCATTATTTACGCGCAAACTGTCCTATAACGGGGCGCCACCATCTGCGTACTGGACTAACAGTACGGAGATAACTCTCACTGGACAGTGAAGGTCAGTGCCCTTCTACATCTATATACGCAAGGGTAAATGACTAAGACAAACACTTTGGTCGTAGCAAATTTAAAACGATTTTGATATAATTAGGGAAACGTTAACCCCCCATTTTCGTTAACCGCCCCCCCAAATATTGCCGCAATTCACATGATTCCCATGTTTATGCTTGACGCGGCTTGCGCCCCCATCTGAATCAACAAGACCATCAATATGAGTTAGATTCGTCACTGTATCCATGAGTGGAAAAGCAATCGACAAGAACCGGTTTGATGACAGTCTTCAACGACTAAGCAGATGTTTCCATAAAAACAACGTTTGCGCCGCAAGCGACGGATCTTGTAGCGCTCATTGAGCCACCCTCGTTGATGCCGGTGATCACTGCTGTCATGCTGATCGGCTTCGAACAGCTCATTGACTGCATTGTGCACAACGACGAGGAGGAGTGGGCGTCAACACTGCGGTTGATCTCCATTTAAATCGAAACGAAGTCAATTGAGTGCCCAGCGGGTGCCGACTGCCTTTTAGGGGAAATCCTATCGAGGAAAGCTCAATCTGGATCTTGTCAGACGCCAAGTCGAGCAACAGCCATCATCAAAAATTACACGTTAGTCTGGTTAGTTGATTGAGCATGTATTGAGACGATTGATGTACCGTTTGATAGACGTCTGCGTCTGGCTTGAAGTCAATTTTAAATATAGTATTGTTGGATGCCTTTGTCACAGTGCCCATGCAGGATAATCGCTACAAGCCCAACCTGTTCCAGAATCGATCTTATAAAAGTCTCATTTTACCGAGCCATAACTCGGTCAAATGGAATAATAATTTGCCACACGTCGCCGACTTAACGACATGCATAGATTGTATAGATTTGGAATTTTTTGCATTTGTAAATGAGACTATAAATTAATTCTGAGACCGGTAATATTCTCGATCCTACCAATCAGAAGGCGTGAATCGAGTAAATTATGGTAATATATAGGGTAGGGGTGAGTAACGAAACCTGGGGGGTGATAAACGTTTCCCTATTATTAAGTCCAGTATCTTTAGCTGTCTGATATGTCCTAGCTCAATTATATTAATATAACTAAACGTATGATGGCGTCACTCACCATCCATTGCGCGCGTCTAGCAGCGATTCGTGGGTTAATTTACACACCGTATCAGCCAATGAGTAGACCTTCGGGTCATGTCAACAATATAACTGTATTCAGTGATATTGTTATAAGGGTGTTCAACAGTCTATTCTTTATTACCAATTCTCATGATGGTAATTTCATGTGACGGGCTCCCCGTTACATCACCCCTCCATAACTGATAGTCACTTTGTGAATATCAAAACTTGGCGACCCCTCATTGGACACCATTGGGACAAGGATCATTTGCTTGGTAAGATCTATTCATAACTAACCTTGCCCCTCATAGTTATTCTGTCAATGCGGAGAGACTGCGCAAGCCTCAGCGGCAGAGGATTCGTCTTCCGCTGCTTCATCTCTGCCTGATGTACCTGTTGCCTCAGTTGCACGTGGTATCACACCACGTACACACGATGACTCCAAGGTGAAGGTCATCTACTCTGGCGAGTCGGATTTTCTGACTCGGGAAAGGCGTCAGAGGAACGCGGGTTACCCGAAATGACACAACCTATTTCTTCATCAAAACATCTTATGAACGAGAAGACTCTTGACTTGCGTCACAGTTTGTTCATCAGTGAAGATGAAGATGATGGCGATGAGTATGCATACTTATTATCACAGCCAGCTCGTGCAACGACGGACAAGTGCGTCAACGATGGCGCGATCCATCGTCACTCTGATGATCGTGGTTCCGGAGTTGGTACCACATTACAGTGTGCTGAGAATAAGCCGTGGCGCTTGCCCGAACGGCTTATCAATGGATTGTTTTACGAGAGAAGCCATCACCATCGAATACTACAATTCGATGCGAGTAATTCTCATGGATTGAACTCCAGCGCAAGCAACTTTCGCGCCACAGGAAAACTTCTATCTCGATGCTTTTCTTAAGCATCGATGGTATAATGGCAACCAAAAGCGAAATGTCTATTCAGACACCTTGGTATCGTAGAACGCGTTCACGTATCCCGATGGGCCCGAATACCCATCGGATGTGCCACGTCTATTTTTTTGACGAGAACTTAAACGTCAAACAACATCTAAGATCGAGGATCTCAGCTGACAAACGAGGATGGATACTCCCCGCCAGCGGGCAAAGAGACGTGTCCGCTCCTTGTTCCTCACGCGGTTTCTCAAAATAAGCCCCTCATAAAGGCGTCATCCATCGTGCGATTAAATCAGCAGATTTAGTGGCGGCGGGAATGACAGGTCCGACCCAGGCGCCGGGTCTGAAGGATATCTTAGATCGACATGACCGCGTCGTATTTGAGTTTTGGGAGGACGTGGAGCACGTGGAGCACGAGCGCCTTCGTCGCCATGACAAAGAGACGACCTACATCGTTATCGTTCCGATCGGTAGAAGGAACTATTGGACCTTGCGTTTGCTTAACATGAAAAAAAACGCGAGCTCCGTCTCCTGCGCGACGAGCTAGTGCTGGATCGTCGCGAGACTGTGTTACTAAAGGACTAACTCGAAAGTTTGGTCCTCGATCACAAGAATCAGTTGGTGAATATCGAGCGTGATGGCTGTCTTCGTTCTCGGAAGAGACCTCGTACTGATAAAA